GCATAGATGGGTGATGTGATATGATAGGAATAGGAATGAGACGATATGTTTATGATGCAACAAATTGTATTGAAATGGCTGCTGTGATGTGTGCGATACGCTGGTAGGTATCGCAAACGGTTTTAGCAACTTTCAGACGCACATGCGGGCTCAGTAGACCACGGGCAATCCTGACGCTAGCTTGACTGCGTATGTATAAATGTCCTCGCCAAGCTATTCACCTGTTTCTCTAGTACATCATCCGTCTTCATATACCTACAAAACACAGATGGTTGTGGACCATGCTCTGACCAAAAGATTAACCACCCCACTTCCATGGCTGCCCGGGCTCCACGTCTTGTCGAAAACACGTAGACTGAACTGGCTGATCATAGATCCTTTGTCGTCTTCTTCTCTCGAAAGCAACTTGCTATTGATATCATGGCATCTTCTTCCACCTTTTCCCGGTACTTCCAAATTGGGCACCGACACATTTGATGTGCTTCGTCGACATAAAGAAAAAAGGACAGATCTACGATGGCTGTTCTGCCTCTGTCCTCCTCTGCTGCCCTCGCAAGAGTAAGGCAAAGACAATAGGACTTCGCTGTCGTTTATTACTCCGAATCCAAAACTGGAACGAAATCGTGCATGTGTTCTGCCGGTAGAATCAACCACACGTGAACAGCAAAGTTATTCGTTCTCCCGTTCTCCAGAAACAATCCTGCATCTAAGCCATGTTCCTGATGTTTCGAAGATCGACCTTAATACATGCATGGGTGCCGACGGGCTGCAAAAGTACAAATGAAATGCTTATGACTATGAAGAAGTGCAATCTTCTGGAGAATTAAGTTTACAAAACGAGAAAGCAAACATGCATGTGAGCGACAGTATTGTGGAGAAGGAACATGTGCCAGCGCTGCTATGAGCCATATAAGTATCCCATGGGTATGTGGGAAAGGAAAATGACGGCAATATGTTGATCTAGACTTTGGAAATATACCAGAAGACGGCACAGCGTGTACCTCTTTCTGTATACAGCTCATTTCTCGTCAGGTGTACGAAGCTAGGTTGCGACGAACAGTATAAAGTCCTGGTTTCATATGCGCTCTCTCCTTTCCCTCATAACCTACCACTTCCACAGGTTGTCCAAAAAGTATTGGATGACCAAGGAAATGAATCACCAAAAGTGACCAAGAAGCATGTGATGAGTGGGGCACGGCGCGCCGTTTCAAAAAGACCTACGAATAGTACATGTGTCCTTTCTCTCACTCTTTTGCTCAGACTCTGTTAGTTTGAAGATTCTCGTAGCGATTTGGAGCAACAAATCTTAATGCTCAAGGATTGGACCCAGAACGGGAAGGTGGACAGAGCTGTTTCTCAGAACAGTTAGAATGCGGCGCGGATAGAGCCGCGGTCGACACTGCCACCATGGACCCCAAACTAGCGGATTTAGCCCTCACCCTCTATCGTTCGGCCACGAGTGGGCTCTTGAGTCACATTCGCTTGCTCTGCATAGCACGAGAACTTGTCAAAACAGAAATCATATCACCCACTCAAGGACTTGTTCTGCGCCACTACTGAATCCACTGTTTCAGCGCACTGTCAAGACTGACCTTCATCACACCAACATCGTCTTCGACCGTTCTTCGCACCCACATGACAACCTTTCATCCCTTTCCCCGTCTACCATACGAGCTGCGGATGCAAATATGGGAAGCGACAGTTGAGCCTCGCGTGGTAAACTTTGAGTTTATCTATCAGCGCAGATGGAGAATACCTCCCGAACGACCGACTTACATCAAATCTTCCACACCTGTGCCCGCCGTGCTTCAGACCTGCCAAGAAGCACGAAATCATGGATTGTACCAGAAGCGTTTCTCGGAGATTGCTATATCGGGGCACGGCGCGCAGTAGGTATTCATTATGTACTCTGATATGCTTCCTATGCTAAAATGCTATGCAAAAATGCAGATACGTGTGGGTTAATCTCGGCATGGATACCATCGACATCGGAGAGTCCATGTTTGAAAGTTTCAAGCCGGTCGCTCCGCTCATTCACCGACTGAAGTTTGCACGTGAAATGCAGTCAGAGTTCTTCTACCATTCGGAAGTTCGAGAGGTTCAGGACTTTGTCAATGCGAAGGAGATTTGGATCGTGCCTCTAGACGGCCTAAATTCATGTGTCGGAGCCACGGAGGAACATTATTGGCCATGTGGGAAAGACAATGTTTTCTATATTGATCCTGATAATCCTGAACGAGTTTTCGTAGGTAGTGATGGAGAAGATGAGATTGACACGCTCTATGGGCCAGTGGAACTGTATCAGTAGGCATATGTGCAGCGTCGTTTACTTGTTCAGTGCATGCTAGGATCGAAACGTCAACATAGAAATATATATCGATATTACTTCTTTATACCATCATAACACGTCTCGACATGCTGTTTCCTTCCCCAACCAATCACCATGAATCATTGGTAGCCACTCAGTAACAGTCGCTCTTTCTGGACCTTTTCACCGCGGTGCGATCAACCCTCGGATCTAGCGCATTCATCAGGTCGCTCTTGTGAGGATTCGTGGTCGACTTAGGCCCCCTCTTCATCGTCTTGGGTCCAACAATGGGAGCAGAGGGATCGACTTTTGCTTCTAGAGACCGTAGTGTATCAGCCACCCTTTCACTTGCTATCTGACATGACACCAATAGCTGCAAGCTACTTCAGCTTTTGGAACGAGAACTTACGGCTTCTTCGGCGTGACTGGCGAAGTAGCTCATCGTCTGAGTCGGGTGAATATCTTCCCAATTCTGACTGCGATGGATTCTCGTAGCGTGCATCGTATTGGGACATAGGCTCTGTAGTAGCGCGGTTTGGCTGATGGTATTGCTGCGAGTCAGCATCCCGCTCGAGCATGTTCAGGATGCTGCTTTGGTGTGTGGGTTTTGGTTGATGGTATGATGGGTCGGGTTGGCTATAGCCAGGGCCACGAGCGGACACTTCGTCTGTGAGACGGGCTGTCGCTTCTTCAGGAGGGTCAAGCTTCTGAGCAGCCTCAAGATCGGATGCGCCACTGATCGAGCCGCGGAGATGGTGGATGTTGGGGTGGTCAGCGTACTTCATCGATTCTTCATCAGGCCCAGCAACGAATACGGGATCGAGTTTGTTTGCAGCCTCTAATCCGGATGAACCGCCGATCGAGCCTCGGTGTTCATGGGGAGGATTTCCCCCATGTTGATGTTCGTGTGGCGGGTGCCAGGCCTCGTCGAACCCTTTCGAGGGCTGCCATCCGAAGTCTTTCTCGGCTATACTTCATCAGCCCCGTCTCGGATAGCATATTGTACGGGAGAGTATTATGAAGTATTCGTGGTATGTGTAGTCCAGAATGTTGAATCTCACCTGTACCATCAGTCTGCGTCGTGGGAAGCGAAGAGCGAAGAAGAGCTGACATGTCAGCGAGAGCAACAAAGTGAAGGAATTGGTACGAGGAAAAGGGTATATTGATGTTAAAATGCGCAGTGTATCGCCTATCTACGTGTCTCGTAGCCCGTACCGCCAACATTCGATGTAGGATCAGCGCGATGGTCAACATCCGAGTCGAAGCGCGGGTCAAGCTTGTTACCAACGTTGGTCGAGTGCGGTCCAGCATTTGTTGAGCCGGTCGCAGTTCCCCTGTGGTCCATGTCCGAGTCGTACCTGGGGTCGACCTTGTTGCCAATGTTTGAGTTGTGCGAGCCGTAGTTTGTGGCTGTGGTGTTGGTCGTGTTCATGCGTTCGCGGTGGGCATCAGTGTCGGCAGGAGTGACACCAGCGTCGGCAGGGTGGCCTCGGTAGCCTCGATCCCACTCGTCGACTCCCTTGTTGGCGATCTCCTGGTTCTTGGTTGCGCTCGCCTTGTCGCCGCTCGCGTCATCGACTATGGCCATGGCATTGCCGCGGATGGCCTCGCCAGTTCCCTATGAATGTTAGTACGATTCGATGTCAAGATAGTCCCAAGGGACGGGTTGTGCAAACTTACGTGGACCATACCCACGCCCTTGCGGATAGAGTCGCCAAGAGTCATGTTGGAGGTATATGTATTAGATGTATGTGTAGGTGATAGCCAAAAGCTGGTGTAGCTGTAGGGGTATGCGTAAAAGTTGGGGTATCAGGGTATAATGTGATTACAGTAATGAGCAGAAAGTTGGGAAAGGTCTGAACATAAGTGCTCGACGCTGGCAGCCGCTGCCACACAACCTGCTTTTGCGATTGACATGATTTGCATTGTTTTCGCGAAGTTTGGGAAAGCGCATTGCGACATAGGCTCGAAGATGTGATGTCATGCTCCGCGTGCAGGATTCGCGGACGATGCCGGTAGGGCTGAGCTAGCCACATCGGGGCCTTTGCGTGTCGAGCATATTCCAATAGGATGCACTTTTACGGTGATATGACATCGATGCTCACTTTCACATGAGCATGTAGAACAGATTGTCAGCACCTTCGATCAAATGATAGTACCGATAGCAAGGAGCTAACTATCACTATATCCTGTGTACTGTACCAATCAGCCCACGCTGTAACATACTGTATCCAAGCAGTTTGAGCATAAAAGTCTTCAAACCTCCGATCCAATCACACCATGTGATCTTACTACAACCAAGTTGCATCGAGACAATCATCAATCACTATCTATCACTCCATACATACGTTTTCGAAACACTCTTTACATTGTATTTATCAAAATGTAACATCCGACGTCTCCATTTTACAGTAGAAAATTGCATAGCAAGGCGCATCAAGGTTTTAACCAGATAGTAAAAGAAGCTGCAGCGAGAAAACTGAAAGGTGATGGGGAGTTTGTGTTCTCCTGAGAAGGCAGTTGTAATTATCATCAACACCTATGTCTAAATTTGCGATTTGCATGTCATCAAAGTCGTGATCGCGACGCGTCCGAGCCGTAGCCGGGTCGCCGCCCTCCTCTCACGCCCATTCGCCAACGCCTTTTCTCCGTTAACCGAGTTCATCTCTGCTTTGGGATGTTGAGACGCTTTTTAGGCCTTGCCAGCAGTGTAGAAGTCATCGAGAGCGACCTTGAGCCTCTGGCTCATGGTGATCTCACCCTCGCGTACCCACACGCGTGGGTCGTAAAACTGTATCAGTGATCAGCCATGATACTTCCAATGCGGCAATATTGATCGACTTACCTTCTTGTTGGGCTTGTCCTCGCCGTCTGGGTTACCAACTTGAGTGAGGAGGTAGTCCTAGAACAGGAAGTCAGTATATGTCTCATGGCCATCCCATGTAGCCGCAACTCACCTTCTTGTTGAGGACGTAGTCGCGAACACCCGACAAGTAGGCCCATTGCATATCGGTGTCGAGGTTGACCTTGACAACACCGTATGAGATCGCCTGGCGGAAATCGTCGACAGAGCTGCCGCTGCCACCGTGGAATACGAGGAAGACGGGCTTGTCATCCTTGCTCTTGACTTGCTCCTTGACGAACTGCTGGTGCTTCTGGAGCAATTCAGGGCGGAGCTTGACGTTACCAGGCTTGTAAACACCGTGGACGTTACCGAAGCCAGCGGCGATCGAGAAGTACTGGGAGACCTCGCTCAAGGTCTTGTAGATGTCAAAGATGTCTTCAGGCTGGGTGTCTAATTGTGGGTGTACGAAGTTAGTGTATGTCTCACAGGCAGTTCGTACAAGCACACTTACAGAGCGAGTTGTTGTCAACATCCTCGTTGTTGACACCATCCTCTTCACCACCGGTGATTCCGATCTCCATCTCCAAGAATTGCTTCATAGGAGCAGCGCGCTGGAGGTACTTCTTGGTGGTCTCAATGTTCTCCTCCTTGCTCTCCTCTGAGAGATCAATCATGTGGGAGCTGAACAGCGGTACGCCATTTGCTTTGAAGAACTTCTCGTCCTCGTCGAGCATGCCGTCCAACCAGGGCAGAAGCTTCTTGGCGCAGTGGTCGGTGTGCTGCAGATTTGAAAATACGAAGTCAGTGTATGTCTCACATGCATTTCGTATAGGCACAACTCACGAGAACAACGGGGATACCGTATGCGGGCGCAATTGCGCGGATGTAGTGAGCACCGGCGATGGCTCCCTGGATGGAAGCGCTCTGGTCCTTGTTGTCGACGCCCTTTCCGGCGAAGTATGCGGCACCACCCTGGCTCATTTGCTAGGAAGACGGGTTAGCCTTGTGCGCGACCACGGTCCGATGGCAGCTCAACATACGAGGATGATGGGGGACTTGGCATCGCGGGCAGCCTCGAGGGATGCGACGACGGTGGAGGAGGAAGTCACGTTGATCGCGGGGATGGCGTATCCCTCGGATTGTGCGTGCTTGAAGAGGTTGTAGACCTGGAGTATGTCAACTGCTTGCTCGAGGCAAAGGCGAGAATCAATCCGCGTACATCGTCACCGTAGATGACACCAGTCCTGAGGTAATGGTTGTTAGCTTCAGCTCATGATCATGCGAGCGGGGTCCATGTAACCTACTTTCCCTTGAGAACCTCGGAAGCTTGAACCATGTTTGCGATTGTAATTGGTGTTTATTGGGGTATGGGTATGTGTTGGATTGTAGAATTCAGAAATTGGGATTGTGAAAAGGTGTAGGTGTGGTATGAAGAGAGAAGTTTGCGCAGGTGTTGAGAGCTGTCTAGTTAAAGTTCAAACATGGTAGTGGGGTTGGCGGACCACAAAAAACAACCCCGCTAATGACCGCAGCAGTGACGCAGCTGCTGGTTTCGCGCCAGCTTCCCTCACCAGCCCTACCCACAGCGCATGGTAAAAGCAATTCAAACCCCACGAATTTTTCCATTTGTGAGATATGATACGTTGACTGTCGAATTTTGTCATTCCTGTGTATCGCACAATGGCCTCACTCAATCATTTGGCTCGCATCCGTGGGAGGGCGCATTCCATCATGCTCGTTTGGTCTGATACACGATGATGCTTCACGGCCGCGCTCTGAAGTCATGGCGGGGCCGCTTTCGCTCGGCAGCGCGGAAGTAAAGTGGACTGTCTTTTCACCTTAGCTCGGTGAAGCATCATTGCAATCCACAGGTGACATGTTGTCCGAGTCTCGCCGCAAAACGCTATCTCGCCTTACGCCTCGAATTACCGAGCCAGCCACTTCTTCCATGTTACTCAGCTCCGTCTAGAGCATGCAAGGTCCCACCAATGAAGTCACTCTGATGATGCGGGACAAGACATATGCGCCATATCGTGATCATAATTGAGGTGTTGTTGAATTTTTCCGATATGCGGAAATGCAAATGACATGGATGGCACAGGTATATCTTTACAGCGAGGCGGAGGAATCCTCGGAAGGTGAGGTTCTGGGCCTCTCCAGATGTCCGGAAGTTGGGGTCTACGATATGTTGCGGCCAGTTAACCAAGCCTCATGATTCCGATCCCTTCGCTCTGATCCGGATATTCCTCACGATAGGTTCCTCTACGCCGGGTAACCGTATCTCGGCCTTGAATGTGCCCAGCTGCTTGACACGCGATGTGTCGCCCTCCTCGTGCCCTGAGAGGAACTTGACGTCTGCCTCATTCAGTATCACGCGGGCCGCCTCGTCGTTGTGCGCCAGCGCTCCCTTTATAGTGGCCACGAGATCGGTGCTTGAGACAGAGCCGTAGATAGCATCTGCAGACGCCTTCTTGCCCATCGCCGCTGCAGTCAAAATGTCTGCTGCACCAGACGCACCCATGCGCCCGCTCGATGGGCTGTCTTGCTCGATTCGCTGGCGGTAAAAGTCGATCGTGGGTGGTACAAACGCATCGAGGAGCTCCATGGATCGCTCAGGCTGTTCACGTCAGTATTGGTGGTTACAACGACCAGACACGGGACATACACTGAGCACATCGATTTCAATCGGCCGTACATAGTGTTTCGGCTGCTTCATGAAGTCGACCTCCTCTTCCTCCGCCTCCTCCAGGTTCAGTCGTACGCCATATGAGAAGTCGCGGCCCATGTCCACATCCTGCGCCTTGAGCTGCTTCATTTGGGTAGCGGGAACATAGTCGGCGACGCGTGCGGGGAACCATCGGTTACGCATGAGAGAAGGGTTGAGCGGGACATATGAGCCTTTGTAGTATTAGCCATGTCGAACTGGTGTTTGTTGTGACCACTTTGACAGCTTCAAGGGACTTGCAAAGGGCACATGTCAAACTTCTGCAGTAAATGCATCGTACCTGCGCGACCGAATCTTGGCACATCCTTTAGTAGCTTCACGACAATGTTGCGCTCTGCCTCTTTCGCCTTCTTTGAGATGTTGCGGGTCTGCTGCGACGCCGAAACCCCCAAATTTTGCCGCGTCACTCTCCGTATACACGACGTGCACTGCGGGAGCAGCGTCGAGGTCCTTAGTGAAGCCATTGGGCGTGTCGTGGTGAGGCGTGCTTAATTTCAGGAAAAGTGCAAGACGTCCATCAGATGTGGAGATCCTTGCGACGGAGGGCGGAAGGTGCCAATGGCCGGTGCTACTTGCCGTAGGCTCGGCATACTTTGCGCCCGCCTCACGAGCAAACGACAGATGACGGCCAGCGCGATATCCCAAGCTGGGCAGCAGTCAGACCATGGCTGATGCGGTAGTCAGCCATACTCTACGCCCTATCCATAGCATTTTCGCAGCACAACCTTAGCACGACCGAGCACAGCGTCCGCGACACCGTACACGACCCCAGATCCTCCATCCAATCCCGCGGTAGCGGGAGTGACAGGCGCCGCAAGATGCCTGAGAAGCCCCTCACAATTGCAACCTACGCCGCAGGAGCCTCCCTCGCTGCCATTACCCTGGTCTACGTCTTTGGCCCGACGTACTTTCTCGACGACGATGCAAATGCAGCTAGCAGTAAGAAGAAGGGCGTAGTGGGTCTCAGCAATGCGGCCAACGACTGCTTCATCAATTCTGTGCTGCAGGCGCTTGCCGGCCTGCCAGACTTGCGCATATATCTCATACGAGAAACGCACAGGCGCATGCTCGATGGACCAGAAGTTTATGATGTGGACCCTGAAAGGTTGAATGCCGAGACAGGGACCGCAAGGCCCGCAAAGCTACAGGGCCTGCAGAGAGGCATTCTGACCCATGGACTGAAGGACATCCTCGACAAGCTTAACGAGCGGCCCATATACAAGAAGACCATCTCTCCGCAACCCTTTATTCGGTCGCTCGAGCATGCATTCGGCACCCGGATCAGCCGGCAACAGCAGGATGCGCAGGAATTTCTCCAGATAGTCACCGAGCGCCTATGCGACGAGTACCACGCCGGCGGAAAGGCCAGGCGACAGGCTACGCGGTCAGGCATCACCATCACAACTGGGGACGGCGCATCGGAAAGGAGAGAGGTCGAGCAACAGTTCGGCGCAGCACCGCCTGAAGGCTCTGGTAGTGATGGTGTTGAGGAAGAGCTGGGAGAGGATGAAGCACCTGCAGATGAGGAAGGCTTTCCGTTCGAGGGCAAGATCGAATCACAGATTGAGTGCGAGACATGCCACTTCAAGCCGAAGCCTACCGTGTCGACCTTTGTCACCCTGACCCTGAACGTACCGCAAGCCTCTTCCACCTCTCTCAACGCCTGTCTTGACGGAATGCTCAAGGTTGAATACATCGACGATTTCAAGTGCGAGCGCTGTCGGCTAGAGCATGCGCTGAGGAGCAAAGATCATCAGCTTTCGCGAACCACTGACCCAGATGCACAGTCGCTTTTACAATCAGACATCGCCAAGATCCGACAAGCGTTGGAGGAAGACCCTGAACAGCCGCCCGAAGGTGTCGAGCTTCCGGATACAAGCCAAGCACCCAAGCGTCGCATATCCCGTCACATGTACATCTCGCAGTTCCCCAAGGTTCTTGCGATACATCTGTCGCGATCAACATTCGCCATCGGTGCTGCCTCGACGAAGAATATGGCCAAGGTCGCCTTCCCTGAAGCTCTGCCTCTGGGTGGGCTATTAAGTCGCAAAAACTACCGCCTTCTTGGAATGGTCACACACAAGGGCAGTCACAACAGCGGTCACTATGAATCCTTCCGCCGTCAAGTGCAGCCTCTCCCATTCTCCACAAATGCGACGCTTGGTACTGAAGGCGCGTACAGTCGCCAAGCCAGTCCATACCCGTCCGCAGCACCATCAGTAGCACCTTCAGCTATGCAAAGCCCGCGGATCTCAGCACTTAATCTCTCCAATACCGTGGACCGCGGCTCACCAGTCCCATCCACGCCCACACTGAACTCTCCTTCGACACGGTCGCTATCTTCCCAAGATACCATACCTTCTTCGTCAAGAGGACCAGCGCCGACTTCCGCGCCGCGGATGCATGACTCTGATCCACTGCAAACGATCCCATCCTCTACCGAGACAGGAACTGGCAGCGATTCTTTGTCACGTACTAGGAGTGTCAGGTCGCTAAAGGAGCGCGCATCAGAGAAAGCGTCGTCGATAAAAGAGTCAAACCCTCTGCGACGAAAGTCGAAGAAGACAAGCAACAGGTGGTGGCGTATAAGCGACGATAAGATCAAGGAGAGCAAGACGTCCGAAGTCTTGAACATGCAGAAGGACGTATACTTGTTGTTTTATGAGCTGAACAAGGTTTGACCCCGGAATAGATGGGTATTGTACAGACAGTGGCGGGTATGCGACTCTGCATCTCGAAGATACCAATGGTGATAGTGTAGTGGAAAAGCATGTGGCAGATATCACTCGATTTGAAAGCGAGACACACGAATGAAAGATGTGTGACATGATGCAACTAAAACAGTGAAAGTGATCGACAAACCTTTACTCTCAGTATTTCTAGGACCACCTACGATACTCATGCGCCGCGAGTACTACGTTGCTGGAGTGGCTTTATCAGCAATGATCTCATTGGCCAACGATACACGTGGCGTTCTTCACCCAACCGTAACTACCAATCGTGACAGTGCCTAGCCTGCAATGCAACAACATCAATGCTACGCTCGTAGTCAAACCTCACCTCCCCCTCATTTGTGCTGTCCGGTCACCAAAAAGAGCAATCGCCGCGCAGACCTGTTAGTCGCCCGGTTCTCCGCATCGTCTAACACGTATCGCATTCCAACGGGCTGAAGGAAGTTGTCAAACACATAAGATACGAGTACGGTTGACTTGGTTCCGGCGTTGTTTGCAGTACATTAGTCTGACCCAATCCATATCAATAGCTGGAGGGATATTGGCCATAGCGATCGGTTCCTACCCTGCACTCATTACTAGTACCTTTTCAAACCAATATCTCCTCGCTTCAACACAGCTTTTGTCAAAACATCAGGAACATGCCAAGCCTCGAAGCAGACGAGACAGCTTTCCTCCGGGCCGTGGGAAAGCAGACGTTTACGAATCCACCTCGCGTCCTCATCATCGGGGCAGGAAGTCGTGGCACTGCCTACGCTGAAGCCGCGCTTTCTTCAACAAATTCCATCATCGCGGCTGTATGTGAGCCCAGTGACTACAAACGCCGTGAATTTGGTCGCAAATTCATCTGGGGCAGTGGGAATGAGGCCACTGGCAACCAAGCATTCCGTAGTTGGAAAGACTGGAAGGAGTATGAGGTGAAGAGAAGAGAGCAAGAAAGAGCTGGTCACGACGTAGACAAAGGCGTCAATGCAGTGTTCGTCTGTGTACTCGATGAGATGCATGAGGAGGTCATCTGTGGTATCGCTGACATGGGCGTACATATCTCGTGTGAGAAACCAATGAGTACCAGGTTGGATAGTTGCATGAGGATGTACAGAGCACTCAAGGCCCCCAACGGCGAAAGCCAAGCCAAGGAAACAATCTTCGGCATCTGCCACGTCTTGCGCTATTCACCGCATAACATGTTACTGAGACATTTGGTGCTTGAGAAGGACGTTATTGGGGATGTGCTGAGCATCGAACATGTCGAGCCGGTCGGCTGGTGGCATTTCTCACATAGCTATGTGAGGTATGATCAACCTGACCACTCCTTCTAGAGTTTAGTACTAATAGAAACAGGGGAAACTGGAGGAAAGAGTCAAAGACTGCACCGTCTTTGCTTACGAAGTCATGCCACGATATCGATTTCCTCATGTGGATGCTCTGCTCACCTGGCCCGAACGCGGATAATGCGACACCTCACCTTCCTTCATTAATCACCTCTACAGGGTCTCGCAACTTCTTCCGCAGGGAGCGCAAACCGAAGGCAGCTGGGTCAGCTACGAACTGTCTTTCCTGCGCGCATGAGTCTGGATGCGACTACAGTGCGAAGAAGATTTATCTCGAGAGGCATCTGAACAACGGCAACGCGGATTGGCCAGTCAAGATTGTGAACCCAGAGATCGAAGATATCTACAAGACTATGGGGAAAGAAGCAGCTGGAAAGCAGCTTCTCAAAGATCTGGCTGAAGACTACAGCGTCGACACTCCGACCAGCGAAGTAGAACAACGCCCATGGTTTGGGCGATGTGTCTGGGAATCAGATAATGATGTCTGTGATGACCAGATGGTCACTATCACCTGGGATGACGATTCCATTGCAAAAGACGACGATGGCCTACCTTTACTATACGGTCGTGGCGCAAAGACAGCGCAATTCCACATGATCGCTTTTACTGAGAAGCAATGCGAACGGCGAGGTCGTATCTACGGTACCAAAGGCGAGATTGAGTATGATAGCACCAGCATCAAAGTTCACGACTTCTCCACAGGGCAATCCAAAACCCATAGTCCCCATATTGCAGGCGGTGGTCACGGCGGTGGTGACGAAGGACTTGCGCGACAATTCCTGATGGCGATCAACGCTGTCGATGCTGGCGCCATGCCCGCGTCAGACGCTCAGCGACAGTACCTCGGATGCGACCTTGAGGAGGCGTTCCGCAGCCATGCCATGGTTTTTGCGGCCGAAGACGCTCGAACGAAGCGCCAAGTGGTCGACTGGAAGAAGTGGTGGGCCGAGTCGGTGGAGTCTCAATTACACCAGCGGTAACGTGGCATGCGTAAGGGATGATGACAGTTCAGGCCAGCAAGGAGGACACGGAGGGTAGTTTCTATCGGTCGCCGAAATTTGCGGCAATGTACAAGGGCGCCTAGATCAAAGCATGACATCGGATGAGGCTCTTGCGAAGCTTGTGAAACCGAGATGAAGGCTGCCAAACCTCGCGCCAATCCGCTGTCAGCGCTCGATGAAGCAATTCTAGCCCCAGGCACGTTTGACAGTTAATCTCCGATTTCAGGCAATTAACGGCCTTTTCGCAGCCGGTTTCGTCCCGTCTGGGCTATATTTGGTGACCGTGCCTGCGACTAATATCTCCCCTTAGGGTACACATGGGCGCTTAATAGACTATGAGGCTCAAGGAAGACGATGGGTAGGGCTGGAAATTTTCTCCACGAGAGCGTTTCCGGGTGCAACGTTTGGGAGTATGGGCGCTTGGATTGGCAGATGGATTTGGGGCCAGTCAGATTGCTCGGTTCGTGGTACATTGGACGAGAACGACACTCGCGCTGTCTTCGGGAGCGTCCGAACCTCAGTTTGCGCTTTTTCGTAGGTCAAGCTCAAGACGCCGCTGGGGGCTGTGCATGGAGTCGAGTCGCATAGCATGGCAGAGGACAGCGCAGCAGGTGGGCGAGGCCCAAGACCCGGAAGAAACTTGCTTGACAACAACGCGGTGAACGCGTCGACGTGTGAGCGGTCTAGGAAGCGTGTTATAGTCGTGAATACACTTCTCTCCGCCCATTGTGAGTCACTCGTTCGTGCATGGCGGGCATGCGGGAAGACGCATGTCGCTCCGCAGAAACGAAACGTTGGAGCGTCGTGGTCCAATCATCCCGCTTTCTTCCATCGATGACTCTTAACGGGCTGCAGATGCCCCACGCAACGCGGGACCCAGCACGGACTACACGGCAGGCGCTAAGCGGACAACACCATGGCCGTCCATTCGTCCCTTCGCGCTGCCAACGTCAAACTGCCGCCCCGGCGCCCATCGAGAAAAGTCCCTCAGTGTAGTACTACACACTAGAACTCTGCTATGCGGCGCCGAGGCTGCCGGTTTCATGTTATCCAACCGCCCCATGTGCAGGCGCCTCGCTGGCCCGCTTACCGCTTTCGTATACTTCTTCATAGCTGTAGCCATTGAGAGGCTATATTTCCATGCCACCATACTGCATCGAGTATGCAACGCCTCAAGAATAGCATAGCCAGAGTCGTTCGCTAGCCACGTACTCGCCCAAGCCAAGCACCAGCAGCGCTATGTTTCAGACGCCTTGTGAGGCTCGCATGTTGTAGAAGGATGCTCTGATACTGCCGCCAGACCGCCAGAACGTCTACCGGTCCAACTCCCCGGGTGCTGGCCCTTCGATGGATCGTGTTTCAGATGTTTTAGCGCGAAGTGGGCGTTGGTTCTCGTGTCTCTACGCGGGGAACAGGAAGGATAAGAAGTCTGTCTGTGCCGCAATCCACCAGTCCATCAGCTTCTTCAAGCACTTCATCTAGAGCACTGCCCGACGAGTCGATTGTGTCTCATTTCCTTTTCCTTCCCTAACTTCTGCGTTTTTGTCTTAGACACCTGGAGCTGGACTCTGCTACTAATCGCTATTCGATAATCTCTTCCTGTCTCTATCCTCAGTCTCCACAGCGTAAGTCACTGCTTTTATCCTCTAGCCGAATCATTGGTGCTGATACAACGTAGTCTGGTAGCTTCACATCATTCATCATGTATAGCCGTCAAACAACACCCCCGACTGCTCCTTTCAACTACATCCCGGGCAGTGTCGGCTCGGACGTCACATACTACTCTCAAGCCTCATCACCAGAACCTCAACTCGCTGGTCCTACCCCTCCACGGTCACCAGTTCGGCAATATGGACCTGTTCTCCTCCCCAAGGTCCGCATGCAAGATCAAGTTGCCGAGCCCACCAGTGGTCCCATTAGACATCGCAGGACGACGTCTACCTCATCCAGCATCGGCTATGCCTACAGCCCTTACTCACGGCCAGCCTCGATGGCTCGTCGTGATTCCAGTCCTTTCAACCACAACATCCACAATGCCCACAGCACAATGACATCTCCCGTGTCAACAGCTTCCTCATACGACTTCAACCTCTCTACTCTCAACTCTCCCATCACATTCGCACAACAGCCCGAGCTTGCACGTCGGTCTTCGTACGTCAGCTCGCACTCCCGCTCTACTTCAGCCAACCGAGCCCGCCATGCTCGCGCTGGCTCTGCTGGAAGTGTTGATGAGCAGGTTATCAGCCGATATGGCTTCCCCACCTACCGCAACATGCCCAGCTACGTCACTGCTTCAAGTGCGCCTCAGTCCAACCTGAGCCTCGTCACTTCCCTTCCATCGTCTTACTCTTCGGTTCAAGACATGCCCAGCTTTACCTCCACTTGCACTCAAGACTTTGTTGTCCCAGAGTTCGAGGCGGCGCCGGCTGTGCAGTACCCCTCTTTCACAGATGTCAGTTTTGACAGCTTTCAGCAAGTCCCTGCTACATCGTCTCTGGTCGAGTACCTCTCCTCTACCAACCCCTCCCCATCTCTGGTTCGCCGTGTCACTAGCGCACCACGCGGCATCAACAACCACTTCTGGTGGGACATCCGCAACCTCCGCAGCTGGGAAGATTTCAACATTACCACTATCAAGTCCATCCCCTCGGTCCTTCCTCTTCTTGAGGTCCCAGTCCCAGCCAACTACCTTCCCCAGCCTTGCCGCCAGAACCTGCAACCAGAGAACGAGTCAGCGCTCCAAGACATCTGCACAAACTACTACGCCAACAAGGTCAACGCTGCACTGAAGGTTGCTCAGGGAAACTCTCACATGGTCATGCGCGCCATCAAACCCGTCGCCGGTCAACGCCAACAACCAGAGTTCGTCTCCAACTACCCCTCCGACTATGAGAAGACTCTCTTCGGTGACAGCCGAGGTCGTGTCGTCGGTCTCGTCAAGTGCTACGACCAATGGAACACTGGCATGCGCAGCGAGTCACCTCCAAAGCAAGTTCTCTACCTCCAGGGCCTCGCTCACCTCCACCGCGTCATGCGCGAGCACGGCTGCCGCTACGGCTTCATCATGACCGAGATCGAACTTCTCTGCGTCCGCTGCGGTGGCCCATCCTCCTTCTCCACCCCCGACCCTACAACCGTCAACGCACAAACCGGTGTGCCCATTTATGGTTACTTGGAGACCTCCGCTCCTATTCGTCTCTCAACTTCCGGTTCGCACCCTGAGACTGGCGACATTCAATTGACCGCTGCCCTCGCTCTTTGGTACCTGCACATGCTCGCCAAGGAGAACCCCTTTGAGGGTATGGGCACCTGGCGCATGGACGTCGGTGGCCCTGCCGCTTTGACCAGGCAAAACTTCTTGGACAAAGACACTTGGATTCCTAAGCCGCAGCTTGGCGAGAAGAGGGAGGCGAAGAGGGTTAGGGGTTGGGTTTTCCCTGATGAGCCATTGAGTAAGAGGGAGTGTGGTAAGGGAAAGAGGGGAAAGTCTATTGGTTAATTGGTTGAGTTTGGTAATGGTTATGAGGAATGATGGTATGATGAGATGATGGATGATGGGATGGGATATGATAAAACAGCTGCTGGTCAGCATAAGCTCTCTTTTTGCATTGAGCGGCGTTTTCTTTCTATTGGGCTTTAGCAGCATTACCTGGCGTTTTCTTGATAACACAGCATTTACATGGCGCGATAGTTTTGGGTTAAATATCTCAGTAGTTCAGAAGCAATGGTACTTCTCACCATCAACGCTGTCCCTCATGCTCTGTATGATGCTTGCTTTTGAACTCAAAAACCGGATTGGAGGTCCTTGTCACACCATATGTGCCAACTCCTCCGCCTACTTCTCAACATATTAAGACCGCTCAAGCTCTCAATTCTTATACTCCTTCATCGCACATCTTACCTCGCTTTCTCAAAAATTACCCTTCACCATACCTTACGAAGACGTCTGTCTTCCTGCCTCTAAAAAGACAACACAAACATGCAATATCTGCAAGCTTGCGAGAACTCCAAAAGCAACCCGTACCAGCCGCATGATCATCTTCTCTACCTTCTGGCTCCCAAGAACAACCACGGGTACCGGTCGTGTATTTTGTGCCTCTCGAAGAAGTAGACGGATGCAGATACGTGCATGTGCTGTCTTTTATGAGGGTATAAAACACTGCTCAGCTTTTGAGGAACCTTCTCTTATTTATCACACTCTACTTCTAAAATGCTTAAAACGAACCCAAAAACGCGCTATGGACTTTCCTGCGGTCCAAAAAAGAAAAACTCCCACAACATGCTGTCTGCCTCGTCCCTCCAAAAAGAAAATGGTGTAGAGACTGTAGTATGGAGTGCTTGATGCGAACCGATACAGAAAACAGCATAGCCATGTTTGTAGGAGGGCAGACGACCACAAAGCGACAACAAATCACGCATGATATGGTCGCTTGCTTGATTGCCAACTTCAAAACTCGCTTGACCACTATCATGTTGGCGCTCGTTGTCTCGTCTGTGCGGGATTTGGTCTTCAAAACTGACACGCCACGCTGGGATGTGAATTTGTGCTTGGATCAAAGACTTGATAAATCTTCATGGGTATTAGGTCTCTGACCCTCGACACCGCATCCAACCTTCTATGTGGACAGTGCGGAGATGAGCATATATCTCCGAAATTCTACGACATACACAATCATGCACTTCCGTTCACAGCAAACCTTCACCGGGGCGATTTTCCGTCCCTCCATTCAAAGGGAAAAAGGGCCCAAGACACTGATGTTTGGCTAAAAAACTGCGTGAAAAATCGCACATCAGATAGTTTTAGGTTTTCCGTGTTACTTCATTAACCTTCTTGATTAAAGAGGCCGTAATGTTAGCGGAAGATATAAAACACACCTTCAATACTTGGTCTCTTCTCTATACCATCATCTGTATCAACCCCTCCAAAAAAAAATACAGGCTGTTCAACCCATGCTTCCTTCTGTCTTTTCGCTTTTCTCCACAACGTACTGAATGCAGACATGAGATCAGCCCGTCTTTTCGACAGGATGGTCTTTTCACTTGTACAGCCGGAATGATAGCGCATTGGTATTGGATAAGTATACATAAGGTATATGCCTCACTGATCTTCAGTTCACTATCCAAGTTGTTTGGAATTGATCAAAAGCTGCAACAACTTGAACATGTCATGATATTTTGAGCCAATGTTCGCAACTCGGGCAGAGATGAATGTCGTTTTACCCAGGCCTTCTCTCAATCGACTACATCATTGTAGAACATATCAAGATGATGATATTGTTTGCGCATGCCTATCTCCAGTGAACGTCTTTCAGTTGGACCTTGCTCAAAAACAAGACAAGAAAACTCATGTCCTGGTTATGTGATCGTATTTGGAGGCGGCGAGCTTCAAGCGTGTTTTTGATATAGTGATGCAGACACTCGGAAATACTTATGATGTACGTGCTGTCCAATCTCTTTGAACATGGTTTTGTCAGTCTCGATCGGTCCCTCATGGCGATCCCTGAATTGTGGCGTGACAGACTTCGCAAACATGCTTGCTGCATAGGCCAGTACAAGCTTCCGGATAAAACTGTGGAGGGTGTAAAGACATGGTAGGTCAGCGTCGTAGTACGGTTGCATTTGATCCAGCAGTAGCACTATTTGCCGAAAGGGTCGCGTCGCAGCCGTGGAAGCCGTGCGGAAGTCAGTGCGTCAAGTGGGTAGGGCCCAATATGAGAGCGATGACGCTCTGTTGCTTCGGTCTGAGTCCTTCCTATCGGCAACGATGGAAGTCGGTGGGAAGCGTCGGATGTTAAGTACCTATCCATAAGCCTGCAGGTACCGCTTCATGCCGGCTCAGAGGCCGCTACTCTCCGTCGAAGTAGATGCGCGTTGTGGAACATCGGTACCTGGATGGCTGTTGATGTGTTTGGCGATGCAAGGCAGTGTGCTAGAAAACGCGACAGCCAAGGTGGCATGTGGTGATGAGTAAATAGATGCATCGTGGTGGTCAAAGGGCAGGGACAGTGCATTGACCGCCACGTGCGCTAACGATGCTGGGAGGGAAAGCCGCGATTCTGATCCACACAAAATTAACTACTGCCCCTCCATCATCACGTCCCGCACAAGCTGCACAAGCCCGACGAGGCGCAAAATCGAGGGAAAAAGCACGCGTGCCTTTATCCTGACACAGTCCCTCCCGCCAATTCTTACCCCATAACGCTGTTTGCGGGTGCAAAGACAGCAGTAATCTCGCCCGATCCCCCACTGCCACTTCTCACCGCACCCACCACCCTTGGCTTTCTCTAGCCCATCACCAATACTCGCCGCAGACCCTGTCACATACTCGCAACCATGGACGTTGCCGGCCTGCGGGATAGGATTCAGGCGACTCTTGACGCGAACGCCGCCATCAGACAGCAAGCTGAACTTGACCTCAAGCATGTGCGTGTTGAATGCTGGAAGAATGCCTACCAGACGGCAGACTGATAGAAACATAGGCCGAAGAAAAGCCAGGCTTCACCGACGGCCTGCTGAACATCCTCGAGCAGGAACAGAACAACGCCGTGCGCCTGTCGAGTAAGATGCGCCCACGACCACTCTACGCCCGTGGCCTTCATCACTAACGCGTGCCTACAGCCGTCGTCTACCTCAAAAACCGCATTTCCAAGGGCTGGTCGCCTGCCGAAGAATACAGCCAGGCCATCCCTATACCAGAGGAAGAAAAGGCTGCCTTCCGCAGTCGCCTCGTCCCCGTCCTCGTCGCCTCCCCGCCCCAAGTGCGCCTACAGCTTATTCCTACCCTCCAAAAGATTCTCGCATACGATTTCCCTGCCAAATGGCCAGACTTCCTCGACATCACTATACAACTACTGAACGCTGGAAACATCGAGTCAGTCTTCGCTGGTGTCCAGTGTCTGTTGGCGATATGCAAGATCTACAGATTCAAGTCGGGAGAGAACCGCGCAGATTTCGACAAGATAGTTGCCATGTCCTTCCCTCAGCTGCTGAATATCGGAAACTCACTGGCTGGTGAGACGAGTTTGGAGGCTGGCGAGATATTACGGACGGTGTTGAAAGTGTACAAGCATGCCATCTACGTAAGATTTTCACGGGCATAGCATATGACGAGTAGCTGACCAGACCATAGTTCGATCTCCCCGCATCCCTCCGCGACCAGCAAGTCATGGTTGGCTGGTGCACACTGTTCTTGACTGTCGTAGGCAAAGAACCCCCAGAGTCGTCTCTCCCCGAAGATCTCGACGAGCGGGAAGTAAATCATTGGTGGAAGGCGAAGAAGTGGTCATACGCAAACTTGAACAGGCTATTCGTTAGGTACATAGAAAGACTATGCATGACTCACTTGGGCGTGGCTAATCACCAACAGGTACGGCAACCCGTCTGCGCTCGGCAAGAACAACGAGATCGACTATACCGAAGTAGCCAAGACCTTCATCACCAACTTCGCGCCCGAGATCCTCAAGGTCTACCTCCAGCAGGTCGAGAAATGGGTTGGAAAGCAAGTCTGGTTGTCAAAGGCCAGCTTGTACTACACGCTCAACTTCCTCGACGAGTGCGTCAAGCCCAAGTCCATGTGGACCCTCCTCAAGCCGCACACCGACAACCTCATCGCCCATCTCATCTTCCCTGTCCTGTGCCAGTCGGATGAAGACATCGAACTCTTCGAGGAGGAGCCACAAGAGTACCTACACAGAAAGTTGAACTTCTACGAAGACGTGACCGCCCCCGACGTCGCAGCGACAAACTTCCTTGTCACGCTCACCAAGAGCCGCCGCAAGCAGACATTCACTGTGCTGAACTTTGTCAACGAGGTAGTCAACCGATATGAGGCCGCTCCCGACAACGAGAAGAACCCAAGAGAGAAGGAGGGCGCGTTGCGCATGATTGGTACGCTCTCTGGCGTTATACTAGGCAAGAAGAGCCCGATCGCAGACCAGGTCGAATACTTTTTCGTCCGCCATGTGTTCCCCGAATTCCGAAGCCCCCACGGTTTCCTTCGTGCTCGCGCATGCGATACCCTCGAGAAGTTCGAACAGCTTGATTTCAAGGACCCGAATAACCTCATCATCATCTACCGTAACATCCTGGAGTCCATGGCTGATCCAACGCTCCCGGTCCGTGTTGCTGCTGCCCTGTCACTGCAACCCCTCATCCGCCACGATGTTATTCGAACCAACATGAAAACGAACATTCCCCAGGTTATGCAGCAGCTACTGAAGCTCGCTAACGAAGTCGACGTTGATGCCCTTGCCAACGTTATGGAGGACTTTGTCGAAGTTTTTGCTCCGGAATTGACTCCCTTCGCCGTGGCGCTGAGCGAACAGCTGCGTGACACTTACCTGCGTATTGTGCGGGAATTGGTATCAAGAAACCAAGAGAAGGGCGACGAAAGCGAGTACGGTGACTTCCTTGATGAGAAGAGCATCACGGCTCTTGGTGTCCTACAGACCATTGGTACTCTTATCCTTACCCTGGAAAGTACACCTGATGTTCTCCTGC